GCCTTGCCGGCGCGGCGGGGCGGTGGAAGAAGCCGCGGACCCGCTAGGAGCGCGGCCGAGTAGGTGATTATTTTATTCTTTGGGGAAGGAGAAAGTAATTTCCATGCGGCGCTCTCTGGGTGTACCTGGAGGGCGTAGCTGATGAATAGCACTGGTTTACTTGCCGCAGGCTGCGCCGCGCAAAGCTCGGGAGAGGTTTTTTTTTTTTCCTGAGCTGCTCCATTAACACAAACAGACAGCAACGCTGGCTGCTGACACCAGGGTTAATTAAATCCATCTCTCCATCAATTCTTATTCAACTATTATCGATGGTCATTAGATCAGCGACAAAGTGACAAGCAAGCGGTAATAGACTCATCTTAACCCTTGCAGGGCTGGAGAAACGCAACCAGACCGAGTGTGGGTGGGGGGGGATGCTTCTCGCGGGCTCTGCTCAAACTATTGCTCCCGCTTGCAGCACCTGGGGCAGAGAGTCATTTTCCTAAACCTAGGGACACAAGTTTCCCTTGCGGTTCCCACCTCGGCTCCATCTTTGCTAGGATAATGAACCGGCACCAAAAGAAGAAGAAGAGGAAGAAGGCTTAGGCACTGTTAAGGGCGGTGCGGAGCTGAGCAAAGACAGTCGTCCGTATTGAGTCAGTGCCCTCGGTCTGTTGCTGGCGCTTGTAGGGGCGGTTCACCTCGGCCTGACGTGGGTGCCCCAGTTAGGTCAGGCGGACCGCACTGCGAAAGCCTGTCGGCCCCGTTGTCTGTGACGGGCGTCCAGGTGAGGACAGATCCTGCCCGGGGCTCTCCAATTTGGGGCTTATGGTTTTTCAGATCAGATGAAGTGTTTTTGCCTTCACATGGCTTTATACGCAGGTGTCTCCTGGGATGCTCCTGATAGACATGCCTCACCGCTCCTACTGCTCAGACCTGTGGAGAACCTGCAAGCCAACAGGTGAACCTCATTTCCCTGGCCTGGAGGAAATAAAGGCACCAAACCCCTTTCCTGCTTCCTTTGTTTCTCTGCTGTTCTGCACGTCTGGAGCTTGAGGAGCTGCAGCTGAGCTCCAAGGCTGGGGCTGTTCTCCTGAGGAGCAGCAGAGTGTTTGCCTGTGTCCCTCTCGCACAGCCCTGTTGCTGGAGGTCCCCGTGTGAGTAGCCCTGGCAGCAGGGGCCTATGCTTACCCAGTCTGCTGTATTGAGGATGAGGAAAGCTCCCAGTGCTGTTCTCCCTGGGGAGCAGACAGGGTGCTTTTGGCCAGAAAAACTCTGGTCCTTAGAAAAGGCCTTCAGGGAGCAGGGACTCCTCCTTAAGGAGGATGGTATCTGAGCACCCTCTTGGACATGAAGGTGTTTGGAGCCAGAGAATAGACCGCAATAGGATCTTGGACTTTGGCCTGGATTCAGGGCTTCTGGGAGGACTTCAGCGCTGGTAGCGTGATGTGGGACATATCCTGCTAACCTAAAGTGGAAATACAGGAGCTGAGCATATCTGTGGCAAAACTTCAGCATCGTCCTCTGGGGTTGTGGCAATTGAGGAACTTGGCACCACTAGCTGGAGTGTTTTGGGTGCGCAGGGCTATCACAAAGGCTGCTGTCGCAAACAAGGGCTCATGTTCTTGCTCCCAGCATCGATGACTGGGGAGCAGGGAAGGTGCTCTGGGGAAACTGCCTAGGAAAGGGTTAAATTAAGGCAGTGCTCTGAGGGAGCTACTTCCCGGGGGGGGGGGGGGGGGGGGGGGGGTCGTGGGGACAGCAGGCTGTGCTCTATGGTGTGGCGACATGTGGCCTGGAAGCAAAAAGTTGTTGCTGCCACGTCGTCCTCCTGCTCACTGTGACACGGAGGCAGAAGGATGCTCTGGGGCAGCTGTGTCCTGGGGTAGGTCTCCCTCTGGGAGCAGAAAAGCGCACTCTTCCCAAGGTGGCCTTGAACTGCAAGGAAGAGAGTCGCGGGGGTGATGCCACCTTTGGAGGAGAGGCTTGCAGAGCTGCTGTGAATGCCTAAGCAACTAAACAAACCACCAGAAAATTAGTTACTGGAATAACTCAGTCTTAGAGCCCTTCCTTGTTGCATGAATACATAGATAATTTTTTTTCCTCTTGTGCCAAGAAGAACC